TTGAACGGAAACGAACGATCGTCGAACGCTCGTCGAACGCTCGTCGAACGGTAATTGAACGCTCTTTGAACGAAAAACGAACGGTAATTGAACGGTCATCGAACGGAAATGAACGCTCTTCAAACGAAAATGAACGGTAATTGAACGGTCATCGAACGGTAATTGAACGCTCTTCGAACGGAAATGAACGGTAATTGAACGGTCATCGAACGGTAATTGAACGATCATCGAACGGTAAGTGAACGCTTTTCGAACGGAAATGAACGGTAATTGAACGATCATCGAACGGTAAGTGAACGCTCTTCGAACGGAAATGAACGGTAATTGAACAGTCATCGAACGGAAACGAACGCTCATCGAACGGAAACGAACGGAAACGAACGGTAATTGAACGCAAAACTATATTCACTTATCAAACAAATATTACAATATATTACAATGTATCACAATGTAGTATCGAAATACAATATCTGTGGCAGCTGTGTCACGTATGGAAACATGATACTGCGCACATGCATAGATAGGTGTTAGATTGAGCAATGTATAATCTCTCTCTACATTATGTAATCTACGTTCTAAATTCTAGTTTCGTTTCTTTTATACTTTCTTACTTCATGACTCTACTCGAACAGTTACTGGATATTAAAAGTTGCAGCTCAATGAATCTGTGGTAATACTTATTTCGTCCACCCCTTATCCTCGCTACTCTAACATCATCAGGTTATGGGCCCAGAGTTGCGCGTGTGAAGAAGGAATTTAGTCGCGGAGTGAACTTCGTAAGTCACGAGTCGGAAAAGTTTTTGAGAAACAACGCGTGTGCGAAAGTGCGACAAAAATGGCGGACGATGAAAAGTACAAAGTGCCACTCTTTGATGGAAGCAACTACAGTAACTGGAAGTTTCGTATGCAGATTCTACTTGAGGAACATGATCTCTTTGATCTAATCGGTGAAGAGCTTAATACATTAATAGCAAGGCTACCGGCGGCAACCGCAGCCGCTCAAACTCCTATCTTGAAAAGAAATGACAAAAAATGTAAGTCGCTTATTACTCAACGTATCTCAGATAGTCATCTCGAGTACGTGAAGGAGAAAGATACAGCGTATGATATGTGGAAGGCTCTTTCGGATAGTTTCGAGCGTACAGGCGTCTCGAACCAACTTCGTCTTAGAAAAATACTCTTGACCATGCGGTACGCGTCAACGGAATCCATGGCATCTCATTTTTTGAAGTTCGACAAGCTCGTTCGGGAGTTGAAATCGACCGGTGCTAAGATAGAAGAAATTGATATCGTATGCCATCTATTGTTAACGATGCCCGAAGAGTATGATATGGTCGTAACAGCCCTCGAAACAATGTCAAGTGGACAGTTAACTCCTAGCTTCGTCAAAACAAGGTTATTGGATGAAGAAGCGAAGCGAGGTGGCAGCACAGATTTAGTAGGTGGCAGCACAGATTTAGTAAGTGGAAGCTCGTCTACCGTGTTCTCAGTTACGACGAATAAGCGCCACGGAAATCGGAACGCAAACTCAACCGGAAATCGGAACGCGAACTCAACCGGAAATCGAAACGCGAACAATAAACGGAATGTTAATTCGAACGGGAATAGCGCGGGAACGAGACGTAACCGGTTTGACTATAGATGTCACCACTGCGGCATAGTTGGACACAAACGGTCCGAGTGTCGGAAATTGAAAAACGAAGATAAGAATTCGGAAACGGCGAATGCCGCGGTTGATGATAACTGTAACAAAAATCAAAAAGCCTTTGTGTTTTTCTCAAATGGAAGTGACAGTAGTGTGTCAAACGTAAATTTTGTTTTAGATTCCGGATCTACTGAGCATTTGTCAACGGAAAAGACAAAATTAATTAACGTGCGGAAATTAACTACGCCGAATAAATATACGCGTTGCAAAGTCGCGTTGCAAAGTCGGGTCACGTGCTGACTGCAAATAAAATCGGAGACTTAAGAGTGCGCGCGCGAGTAAACGGGAAAACTAGTGACATTGTAATAACTGGAATCTTATCGGTAGCGGGACTCGAATGTAATCTTCTCTCAGTTCGTAAACTTGAAATGAATGGTTTTTCAGTAATTTTTGAAGACGGTAAAGGAATCATTAAGAAAGGGAACAAAGTCGCCGCAATCGCGCGTCGTCAAGACAAGCTGTATGAACTATGTGTTGAAAGCGTAACGGAAACCGCGAATGTCTGCAATGTCAGTGAAACAACACAACTGTGGCATCGTCGCTTAGGACATCTGAGCAGCTCCGGATTGAAGAAACTTGTGAGCATGGCAGACGGAATAGATGTGAAAGAATTGGAGACTTCATTGGAGCTCTGCGAAACCTGTGTGGAGGGCAAGCAGACTCGCCTCCCTCACCAATCTCACCGCATCAGAGCAAAGCGACCTCTCGAGCTGGTTCATAGCGACCTTTGTGGTCCAATGGACGTTACATCCTTTGATGGAAAAAGATATTTGCTTACTTTTATTGATGACTTCACTCATTTTACTGTGGCGTATACATTGAAAGCCAAATCAGAAGTGCTCAAACATTTTAAAATGTTCCAATCATTGACAGAAGCTCATTTTAATTTCAAAGTAAGCAGATTCAGGTGTGACAATGGAAGGGAATACCTCTCGACTGAAATTCGTTAACATTTCGAGGACTGCGGAATACAATTCGAACTCACGATTCCCTATACGCCACAACAGAACGGAGTAGCGGAAAGAATGAACCGAACAATAATCGAAAAGGCGCGTTGTATGATTTTGAATTCAAAAATGAGTAAGATTTTTTGGTCCGAGGCTGTAATAGCGGCTGTTTACTTAATCAATCGATGCCCAACGAACGCTGTGAAAGGCAAGCTGCCAGCAGAACTCTGGTATGGAGAAAAACCCAATCTTCGGAAACTGAGGGTTTTTGGATGCGTTGCACATCTTCACATTCCAAAGGAACTGATCAACGGAAAATTCGAATCACGTTCAAAACGCTGCAGACTAATGGGTTATTGTGCGAACAGATATCGACTGTGGTGTCCGGAAAGTAGCAAAATATTATTAGGTCGAGACGTTATTTTTAACGAGTCAAAGTTTACCTCCGAGTCTGAAGATTTTTATGATGATTTTAGTCTACAGAAGTCTACAAAAGAAACAGTAAGGAATCAAGAGTCTCCCAATTCAGGCGGAGAACAAGATATCCCGAGTGATGAAGAATCCGAATACTTCGATAATGCTGATGAAGCAAGGATTTTGAGGAAGAGCTCACGACAGAGAAACAAGCCAAAGTATTTAAATGACTACACTGTCTTGGCTTTAAGCGCAGAATCCTTTGTCGAAGATGTTCCACAACATTTTGACGACATACAAGGACGAGATGATGAAAGGCAGTAGATGGATGCGATAAATGAAGAAATTACATCTCTTGTCGAAAACAAAACCTGGGACTTAATACCATTGCCTCCTGAAAGAAAGATCATCGATAACAGATGGGTTTTCAAGATAAAAAGGGATAAAGACGGAAATATCGACAAATACAAGGCACGTCTGGTAGTGAAAGGATGCTCCCAACGAAGAGGCCTGGATTACGAAGAAACATATGCGCCAGTTGCGCGTCTCACTACGGTGCGAACCCTTCTATCGATAGTCAACCAACTCAGGCTAAAAACTAGACAGCTAGACGTTAAAAATGCTTTTCTACACGGAACTATTGATGAAGAAATATACATGAAATTACCTCAAGGATTCACCCAAGGTAATGGCCTCGTATGTAAGTTGAATCGTTCCTTATACGGACTGAAACAAGCTCCACGAGCATGGAATGCTCGATTCAACGAGTTCATCTTGACCCTAGGATTCAAAAGATCAGAACGAGATCACTGTCTCTATGTAGCAACATCCCAAAGGTGTCGGCTGTATCTACTGCTTTATGTCGATGATATTATCATTGCAGGCCAAGATGAAATCCAGATTCAAGAGATTGTTAATGCTCTTAAATATGAATTCGCTATGACGGACATTGGCGAAATTGAAAGTTTCCTCGGAATAAAAATCAAGCAAACATCAAGAGGCCTATTTTTGAGCCAGAGAGCATATATGGAAAAAATGCTCACTCGCTTTGGAATGACGGAGTGCAATTCTTCCAAATTACCCATGGAAGCAAATCCTGAAAAACAAGAAAACGACGACGGAGAAGTCATAAATGAGATAAAACCATACAGAGAGCTCGTTGGATGTCTGATGTTTCTTATGCTCAACACACGTCCTGACATAAGTGTTACTGTAAACTATTACAGTCGTTTCCAGAACAATGCGAAATTAACTCATTGGAAAGGCCTTAAACGAGTTCTTCGATATATTAAAGGCACTCTCGACTATGGACTGCTGTTCAAACGAGGCTTAAATCCAGAAACACCACTCCAAGTCTACGTAGATGCAAATTGGGCTACAGACAATGATCGCAAGTCAACTACTGGCTTTCTACTTCAGGTTTTCGGCTCTACGGTAGCTTGGTCAACGAAAAAGCAAACTGGAATCACCCTCTCGTCTACTGAAGCAGAATATGTTGCTTTGGCAACAGCTTTGACGGAAGCAATATGGCTAAAAGGACTTTTAGAGGACTTTAATGTGAATAGTGCCTATCCCATTGCAGTGTTTGAGGACAATCAATCTGTGATTCATCTGTTAAGCCGATGGGAACATCGTATATTAAAACATGTTGATGTTAAATACAATTTTGTTAGAAACATGTACCAAAGCAAAGAAATCAACGTGCATTACGTAAATACCAAAGAGCAAACTGCTGATATACTTACGAAAAGTCTCACAGGAGACCAATTTGTTAAGCTTCGTTCTTATATTGGTGTTTGCAAAAATTAAGCTATATTTACATTTATGTTACGGCTCATACATTGAGGCGGAGTGTTAGATTGAGCAATGTATAATCTCTCTCTACACTATGTAATCTACGTTCTAAATTCTAGTTTAGTTTCTTTTATACTTTCTTACTTCATGACTCTACTCGAACAGTTACTGGATATTAAAAGATGCAGCTCAATGAATCTGTGGTAATACTTATTTCGTCCACCCCTTATCCTCGCTACTCTAACATCATCAATAGGGATGAGGAAAAAAAGAAAAGAATAAGAAAGACGATAAAAATATATCGCATCATCAATTTATTATAAATATGGATTCGAAGAATCATCATCATGATGTTTCAACCAATTATAAATTTTAAATACATTTTGTAGAGCGCAATTTTTTACATGATTTTCACAGCGCATAGTATTCTTAACATCTAACTTATTTAAAGAAGCTACATCCTCATAGTCTGCATCCAAAGTTTCGATAATCACATCGTTTCTCGCATCATCGTCCAGTATATCGGCCAACCATTGTCGCTTTTCATGGCCTTTAACGTATACAAGAGGTGACACATCATCCTCCTCCGTTGCACCCATCACCGCCGTCGTGATTAAACGTTTCGAATTCCAATATGAAACGTGTCCATCATTCCACGATAATCCATGATGGTTTTTAATCAGCCATAAAACCTGACATCTCTCAGATTTTGTGAGCGCGTGCCATGGTACCGGACATGTAAAAATGTAATGAGAAAGTACGGATCCTTTTCTCAAAATCGCAGCTTCCTTCACGACAAAATTTTTCCCAACGATAAATCCTTGCAGATCCACAAACGTTGGCGCAGCCATGATGATAATATCCGATCGTAGATGTTGATCGTCAAACATCTCAATTTTTTATATTTTTCTTCGTGTGCAATGGGGGGGATATTTGCTGACCTATGTAATTTTGCGGACTACATTGGTCAATGGATTATATTCGACAACCCGATCGTGCAAGATGAGACAATAGGCGATAGTATTCGCAGGTATATTTTCCCTGCACTCAAACTCTATTCTCACATCCACGGTAGCAGTTTTGACAGACTCGTTTTGTCGCGAGCAATCAATGACCGCTAGAGGACCGCAATGTAGAAATTTTGGAATTGTTAATAGCGCGGTGCTGTTATCGCATCCGTAATAAAATGTGTGAAAACGAGAGTACATGTTGAATAGGACGACGAATCTATTTTTTTCAAAATCTAAATTTAAATCATCGTAGGGATAAAATTCCGAGTTTAAATAGAGTTTAACGTTGGTCAATTTGCAGTCATCGAACAATGTAACATCTTGTGACACTGAATTCTTTTTACCAGTTTGCAGTGCAAAGATCACGTATCGCGGTTTCTCTAGCTGGAAGGCGGCTTTCACGGTCCACGAATGTTTGGTTGGCTATGTAGCAGAGGAAATTCGTATAGATCCCAAGATCGGAAACTCATGTTCAAGTATCGTCCGCTTTCCAACATTCGCAACATTGATAATTTATTAATCTCGTTCAATATTACATGAGGCATACGCCACTGTATCTTGAGTAATTCAATCTCAGCTTGCGACGACGGATGTCCGAATAGACAATTATTATCGTTGCGCGAACGTATCAAAATCAATTCGTGACGAACGTTAATCACAACGCGTTTATAATCTTCGCAAAATCCCAGCAACATGTTGAGCGGCACGCAAAAGTTGAAATAATTTTTGTCGCCGTTGTACGTCAAATCCCACGATGCATTCTTCAAGTTAATACATTTCTGGTGCGTTAGAGAGACATAATTTTTGAGCGTCGATGTTATTCCAACATTTCTGTTGCGATCAATCTCTACTCCGTCGAGTTCGTATCGAACTCGCTCATCAAACATGAATGCGACGCAATTGTTTCCCAATACAACCTTCATTTCATCATTCGCTTTACGCACATTAAACCTTCCCTCGATGTAAAGAAAGCTTTCGCACGGTAACGTGTACAAATCCTGATGTTGTATAGGTATTCGTATCTCATCGCTGTATCCAAGCGTCGTATTGGCGTACGGATTGTACGTATCTCAATCTAGACGATGCGATCGTCAAAGACTGGCTCACCTTCGATATTCAAAACATCAATCATTCTTTTCGTACGATGAATCCCAATGATTTCAAAAATTCACGATTCAATGCGCTCAGCTTCTTTTTAACGGCAATCTTATACTGTCACCCGATACCGCTCGTCTTATCGCAATAGTATTGTCTCTCGCGTGCTCCGTTTCATTCAGCACGAGCATACTATGTTTGTCGCCGCCGTATATGGAATCTTACGGTAATTTCCTCTCTTCGAAAATCGAGCAATCGACCTCTTTGATCCACAATACGTATCGTTAAATCCGTAATGCTCCGTACGACGATCGGTAGATAAATGATCTGTGCCGGCGTTTCCGATATCTTATATCCTGGCGGTACGCTCGGTGAAAATTCATGTATCGTGTGTACGCGCATGCCGTTGCTGTACGCACCAGTAGTCACGTTGCATTCTATACGAATAATATTTACGTTTATAATATTAACAGGTTCGTCCGATTCATACCACTTGCGAGGTTGCAATATACGATTCGACGAGAATCCAAGCAAGGATCCTACATTGTCGGTTTGGTAAAGTTTATTCTGTAGGCACATTTGATTTCGCTCTTTAGCGTACTGTGATTGGGGCGGAGCACTATTGGATATTCCTCCATCATAATCATTTTCAACATCTCTGGAAAGGTGTTCATCTCGCAAAATTGCGCGTTTGAGATAGTCATTTATGGCGTGCAATTTGTACGATCCTTCGGGAATCGTAATTTCCTTGTCGTCGTTGTCAAAATAAAATTTATTATTCGAAAAATTTACGTTCGGAATCGTGTGATAAGTTTCAAAATCCGTTAATCCGAGCTCGTAATCGGCATCGGTCAAATCTATAGCGGGGAAATAGCTTACAGCGAGAACGCTGCTTCTGCCAGTCAACGTAAGTATCAGTGACATGTCGAGCGAATACTGAGTCATGACGATGGATTGTCAGGCTTTAAATTGATCGTTTGAAGAAATTTTAAACACAACTGTCCACAGATACTCTGATTATAACTTTGATAAGATGTGTAATTGTATTCAATCTTCACTCGTCCGAAATATCGCACAAGTTCCTTGGGCGGTCGAAGATTTCCAAAACTGTCGAAAAAAAACGACACGATCACCCCTCTTTGCGTACGCTACCCAATGAGTACCGGGACCATCAACGTCATCCATATTGACGATACCGCTCTCGTTTCGTCGTACACCGCTTATCGGTAAATTATTGCGCATGAAAACACCTCTAAAGAAAGGTATACGCATACGTTTCGCAAATTGTTCCAATTGCACGTTAGTTGTCGTACCCGTAGGCATTTTTAATGTTTTTTCGACGTTTTTTTTTTCTCTTAGACTTTGTTGAGAATCCCTGTCCACGCTTGTACGGAGCGAGATAAAGTCCGCGACCTTCCATAGCGCGATTGTGACGCTGCATCTCTTCCAGTTGACGTTGCGCAGCCTCGCTATCGTTTACCGCCTTTGCGATTCCCGCCGCACCGCCGGCCAATGAACCGACAACTCCCAACAACGGTAAAAGTGGTAAAATACCACCACGTTTCGCTACTGGAAGCATTCGTTTCTTCCTCTTCTTTGTCGTCGATGGCTTTTTCATCCCCATGCCGAGTTTTGTCTTTGCCTTCATTGCCGCCCAAACAGTCGTAGCGGCTGCTCTTTCACCGAGAGTCGAATCCCTCGCGGTAATGCGTTCTCGCGCTTTTGCAGCTAGTATGCGATCGGCGATGTGACGTTGGTCGAGGTCGTTGCTTCGCGCGTAAGCAATGTCGTGTTCGCGACACGCCGCGTCCAATGGATTGATGCCTCGATCACCTCTAGCCAATCGTTACTCTAATCGAGTTCCCGGCCCGCAAAACTGATAACCGGGAATATGTAATTCGATGGGAAGCGCGTTTATCGCACGATTTAAGAGGCCGCTGCCTTTTACAATTCTCGCTGACATACGTCGCAATCTTTTATCAATGGAAGCGGACCGTCGATGTGCATTCGCTGCCACGGCTGGTTGTAATGTCGCATGCACGAACGATATTGTCGGATCAGCCTTTATATATTCTGGAAGCTTGTCCCACAATCGTTCCACGTAATCACCAAAATTTTGAAGTAATAAAATCTTTGGGATATACTGCAGTTGTTTGGCGGTAAGCCCGAGAATGTCTCTCTCATCCGACAGAAGGAGAAACATTTTTGATACTGAGCGGTTTCGAGTCGAGACACTTCTATAAATAGGTCTCCCTCGCGATCATTCGCAAAATTGATTCGAAAGAGAAAACATGCGGTTCGTGCGACAAGCGCGGGTAATCAAAGTATCAAATTTCAACGATAGACTAATATCGGAGAAAAAAGTACGCAAGCATGGAAACATGCTGCCGACTACTATATACGGTATCGTTTGCGGCCCTTCAAATTGTGGTAAGACAAACGTGTTGATTAGTTTGATAGAAGTCCGCA